TTCAATTTTCATACATTTTCTGATTTAATATTTTTATGTATTATTTTTTCAAAACCATAATCCAAGCTGATTTCCATATGACTAAGTATAACTAGAAGAATTAAGTTTTTGCACTAAAAATCTAAGCTTTTAATAAACAGCTACAATATATCAACTGTAATATGACAAAAACTAGTAAAATGTAATAAAAGTACTAATAAAAAGTTATACATATAGATAAAACCCATATGTAGAAAGGAAAAACATGATGCCTTTTTGTACATTTGAGCATGTACGAGTTATGGTATAAACAAAATTCAACTGAAAAAGTAACTTTTTAAAGAAGTATTAGTTTCTTTGTGAAAGTGTGAACCAAAATAACTTTCCATAAAAACCCAACCAAATAAGAATAAAAAGCACATTTTTTATCATATGAACAATATCATAGAATAACCATTAATCAATCAGTTTTCAATTTCTTCCAATACTATACACATGTAGGATTTCAAAACTTCAAGAATGTTGGCTTGTTACAATCATACATTATTGAATATTTTTACGTACCCTTTCACTTTCTTAACCTGGTCAAAAACAATGAAATGTTCAAAACTATAAGAGACATTTCACACCATACATCAGGGTTCATATGCTCGGTCAAGAATAAAATTCCAGGACTTTTTGAGAATGGAATTAATTTTTCCAAGACTCCAGAAACATCTTGATATATTACTGTCTGATTCATAAGAATTTATTAAAATGTACTAAGTTTCCTTCATATAGTATTACAAACAACCTAGAAGTTAATAACAGGGCAACATGCATGCATTCCATTAGTAACTACCCTAATGTGATATTAGGGATGTCCAACAAAATGTTCAATGAATTAGAAAAAGCAGTTTTATACTTAAGCTTTCATTATTAGATGCTCAGCCAGCCTTTGGCAACACTCAGTTTCCTTCATATAGTATTACAAACAACCTAGAAGTTAATAACAGGGCAACATGCATGCAATCCATTAGTAACTACCCTAATGTGATATTAGCGATGTCCAACAAAATGTTCAATGAATTAGAAAAAGCAGTTTTATACTTAAGCTTTCATTATTAGATGCTCAGCCAGCCTTTGGCAACACTCAGATTTTCCGTAAGAGTCGAATGTAATTGATGATCAACAGATTATTTTAAATATGAAGAAAATATGTAACAAAAAATTATGTTTAATTTACTAAAAGTAAAAAATAAATGTAATTTAATTTTCAATTGTTGTCAGTTGTCAGTATTTCACAGTTTAAAAATCTATATCTTAGTAAAGTTTTTATTTGCTTTCTAGATTGTTATTTACAAAAAATGTACTCTAATTTCATTTTTTTTATGCAGGCAAAAGCAAACAAGATGAAAATTAAGTGTTACATCAATTGTGATTTTTTTTATTGGTCCACTGTACTGTTTAGGCTGCTTAGATATGGTACATGATCAACAAAGCCTCACTGCAGTGACACTTGACTCATCTGTGTATGAAAAAGATACAAAGTTGATAAACTTTAATAACTTGTATATGGAAACCAAGAAATCTGAAAATAAATGTTTAAGGTGAACTATTACTGTCATTACAAATAACTTAGGCAATAAATCCCTCTTTTTTTTTTCAAAGTCCATGGCTTTTTGTGATTTCTTACAAACTTTCACTATTCCAGGAACTGATGAACCCTGATATATTTATTAAGGTAAAAAAAGAAATTTAATGTGTCACCTTCTCCCCCTTAAAAGTTTTCAGCCTCATTATTTAGAAGGGACACTTATTTTTCTTATCTTCGGATGTGTCTACTGTTCTGCATGAATAACAGCATGAAAAAAATTATTATAGTTTAATTCAAATGCTTGAAACTTTGTAGAATGAACGGCAACTGCCTGTTGTAGAGACTCAAGTGTAGAGGATGACGTTTCGAAAGTCTTTCATCTTCAGGTCAGTGTGTGTAAGGTGTTGTCGGTCTTTATAGTATTCTGGTGGATTGTGGAGAGCGTATTATGATTGGTTGGTTTATCCCTGTTTCTGATTGGAGAAGAGATTTCCTGTAGATTCAGCCAATGATAGTCACAGGTTACTCACCTCTAATCTGAAATCTCTGTTTAGTAAAGGTTTAATTATGTTAATATAAAACAATTCTTTAATTTTTCTTGTCTCTGTCTGTGTCGATGATTCTAGATTTTTCCCAGTTTATTTTGTGTCCAGTTGACATGGCATGTTCTGCAATAGCTGAATTTTGTGTTTTCATGAGTCTTGTACAGTCTTAATGTTCTTTTATTCTTGTCCCGAGTCTTCTTCCTGTTTCTCCAATGTATGTTTTATTGCAGGAACACAGAATTTCATAAATGATGTTTTTGTGTTTCTCATTGGTAGGTTGCCGTTTTTGTTTTGTTTTTACCAGAATGGACCTTAATGTCTTGTAAGATTTCCACTGGATTTCTATGTTTAATTTCTTGGCTATGCGTTTGACTTTTTCACTGAAATGTTTGTGGGTAGGGGAGGTAAATGGTAGTAGTGGTAGTGTTTTTCTGATCTACTACCATTTACCTCCCCTACCTGCAAAATTAAGAAAAATTAAAGAATCGTTCTATATTAACACAATTAAACCTTCACTAAACAGAGATTTCGCATTAGAGGTGAGTAACCTGTGGCTATCACTGGCTGAACCTACAGGAAATCTCTCCTCCAATCAGAAACAGGGATAAACCAATCAATTATAACACACTCTCCACAATCCATCAGAATACTAGAAAGATCGACAACACCTGACACACACACTGACCTGAAGGCGGAAGACTTTTGAAACGTCATCCTCTACACCAGGCAGTTGCAATCCATTCTACAAAGTTTTATCATTTATACTTTGTCTAAACAACCTACCAAAGAATTCAAATGCTTATTATTAAAGATAATTAGCATGTTGCTTTCTGTAAAAAAAAAAAAAAGTTCTCAATTAGAAATAACACTAAATATTGGAGAAAACTTTCTACAATTAATGAACAGAAAACAAGTGCTGTCTTGATAAACTGTTGCTGGAATCGTTTTGTAAAAGATAAAGAACTAAAGTAATAAAAACAAAATTAAATACATGGTACAATATACTACTATCATACCTATGATTTTTTCTTACTTTTCTGTAATATTGACATTCATATTTCATACGGTATATTGATTCTTTCTTGAAAAGTATTAAAATGTAACTTGCTATTTAATAGTGGATCAAGTAGAGCATTGAATATTAAGTACATTCTGATGATCATGCATGAAACATATATATCAACATATCTAAAAATATCACATGAAATCTATGTTCATTATTTCATTTGATTGTTATTACAACTACTGATCTTGTACATTGAAATATGTATAAGCAACTAATAGAGTATACTCAGTTCTTTAAACAAAATTAAATGGATATTAGAGAAAAAGACCATCTAACCATTCTTATCTAGAGCTGAGTGATTTAATTGATTAATTGACATAACAAATTACTTATGAGTGGCAATTACATCGATTAGTGTCCCATAAGCTAATCGATTAATGTCACGAATATAATAAAGTAATCAAAATTAGGGTTTTCATTTATTCTCAATATAGAAGTAAATAAAATATTGCCATTCTGTCTGTAAAGCACAAAGCTACATAATGGGCAAATGGGAGGATAATTTTGTGATTTGAGGGTCTCAGGTTTGACTCCATTTGTCACTAAATTTCACATCCCAACTTTCTTAATGCAAAGCTACCTGCCACTGTCACTAATTTTGAACTGCTGCTGTTTTTGGGGATGGGGAGAGGTAGGGGAGAAGAGTCCAAAGGGGGTTACCCCCCCCGAAATTAAGAATCATATCGTTTAATATTATATACGTTGGCACAGATCTAGGGGGCTTAAGCCCTCCATTTTTTTTCAGAAATTAATAAAGAAAATGGCCAATAGTATTGGAAAGAAATATTATATGTCAGCATTTTTTTTATTGGTCTATTAATTACCATAATAAGCTTTTTCTTATAGTTTTTTTGAAGTCAACACAGCTGGAGTCTACAGCAATCTGGTTACAGCCTCATTTGATAACTGATTATTTCTAAATGAATATAACTATATGAACATCAATTAAATGTTGCCATGGTAAATTTTTGCACCTTGGCTTTTTCCAGACACACTAATAATGTGTGGGTGCTCTACAGTTTAAAGTTTTATTTTTTATCAAAGTTAGTGTTATTTTTCAGAATTTGTGGTGCATACTGGAGGGATTTAGACATCTTGGTAATAAAATTAGGATAAAAACAACCTTTACTCTACAGATAATAATGGAACCCACCTCCCATTAAAATATCCTGGATGATCTTGTTTTGAGTAACAGTTTTTCAAAGTATGGATATCAAACATGCATGAATCACATGTTTGAAAAACGTTTAACATAAGTATTCAATCTTGCAGGCTTTAACATTTTATTTTATTTTCTTCATGAATATCAGTATTGTTTGTCAAATATCATGTACTGATTTTTGCATGTTTTGAAAAATAATTTGACTTCCTACAATGAAAGAAGTATTCAACTAACTTGCACATAATGTGGATCTATAGCTGAAACTAGTCATTTTTTGAGAAATATTTTAATGTTCATGTTTTTAGTGATAAGTCTTAACATTACATAAAAATTGTTTGAGATTGTCATGAATAAACATGTTTATTTTCATTAGCAAAAATAAAGTAGTTTTTAGTACAACTTTTGTACTACTTTCCATTATGATAAATTTTAATGTACAACAGTTTAGGATGAACAAAATAACTTACTCCTAAATTTTTGTACCTAAAGAAAGGATTTCCTCTAGTTTTTCATATGTTTTTGCCACAACTTTGTACGGCAAGTGTATATGTTAATTCTAAGTGCTTAAACAATTTTAACTTAAAAATATTTTTAAATTAATATTTTGTCATATTCTGACATTTATTTACCATAATTCATAAAGAAAAGTTAATATTTTTATTTCTGCACAGATGCAAAGAGTTTTGCCTGTAAACAAAACAATGTCATTTTTAAAAAAAAAATTGCCTATCCCAAAGAATAACTATCACTTTTTGAAAATATATTATCTATTTCTTGATTTTCAAGCATTTCATTTAATTTTTGTACAGGTCTTGGTTGAAAACTTGATATGGTGCTACATTAAATGGTTTGATAACTTACTAATAAAACACAGCTTTGAAATCAGCTGTAAAGAAAGTTTAAATATGATTGGATAGAACAAGTAGACTATCATATATTAACAGAGTAGATAAATAGGTTTAAGTTTTTTTAAATAATTCAATAGACTATTCTTTCAGTTTCTTCCATTGTGTTTTGTGAATATATTTGTATGTTAAATTATTTCTTCAATGAGGATGCATCAGATAACTTGAAATAAGGTAGGTAAGCTTATACAGTTTAGAAATGGGTTGAATGTGTTACAAGGACAATTTTATGTACCTTGGTTTTTTAAAGTACCAGCAGAAAATAGACCCAAATTGTATTTGAGGCACACCATCTACTGGTTTAACCTCAATTTCACCAAACTCACATGCTAAAAGAAATGAGAAAAGTGGCAGATGTGGGTGTTCAAACCCACATCTTTACCACCTTTCCCTTTCTGCAGCTAGAAGTGGGAAGGCAGTTGCTTGCAAATATAATGATAATAACAACAATAATAAAAAAAAAATAGTAAGAAAGATAATGATTAGAGTAATATACATAAATGGAGTAGACAGCAAACTTGTCCTTTAAGTTGGCATTCAAGCTCCTATTATGATGTCTGGACATAAATACCAAGTTAAGGTCCTAGTATACCAAGCCCGACCTTTTGCTATTAGTAAGGCTGTGGAATGTTGTGGGCTTGAGCATTCACATCTGTTCCTTCTTTCTTTTTTTTAAGCATGTGAGGCTGGCAAAATTGAGGTTAAGCCAGATAGATGGTGTACACCAATGGAAAAAAAAAATCCGGGCTCATTACGTAATGATTTGTGACCTGGTGTTGGATATTGGGTTTGTGGTTGCATTTTTACTTCTTCACATATATTTTTTTCATTTCTTTAATTACTTTCTTTTTTCTTCTCTACAAAATTAAATCTAATTATATTTCACCTAAGGTTTGGATGTACTTTGTAAAATTAATGCTATCTTTGCTTTTGATGTAATCTATGTAAAAAAGATTTTGTAGCTTACTTAAATAATATATATAAATATAAATCAGATAAGTCACATGACGGGAGATTGCTTAAGGCTTAATAAAGACATTTTGTTGATGCTTGTCTCTTTGTTTAAAATTAGTGTTTTACTTTTTAATACGGTTATATTGAGTTGAAATGCTTGTAAACACGAGTTTTTTATGTTCATCAAATAAAACTGTCATCAGATCAGATAAGTTTACAAATTGTCTAACTGGCTACTTAATTATCTGTAATTGTAATCATGATATGTTTTTAAATAAAAATGATTATTTTGTTGTGAGAGTAAAACACGTTTTCATTATTTAATTATCAATTTATTTAATTTCAGAAGATCAGTATCGGATTACTGTATATTTGAAAAATAAACAGAGGTTATCTCTTGGTGGTATTTAGTCAATGTCAGCAACTCAACTACCAAGTAGAAAATGTCTATAACTTGTGGAAAAATATGTTTAATGCAAATGTGCAACCTTCAGAAGAAGTCTATCATAACAAATCAGGGGTAATTTGACATTTACTTAAAAAAATCAATGTAAAAGATAATACGAAAATTAATATCATGTTGGAATAATGCAGTGTTTGAAAAAATTAAGATGGTAGTACATACCCATCACCTTTTTAGTACAGGTTGTAGGGGACATGGTGTATTAATCAATTAATAAGTCTGTCAATTAATAAATTAGCAAATACATTAATCACCCAGCTCTATTTTTATCACACCTGCTGAATTTTATTGATTTTGTACATCTGATATCTATCATCAGGTGCACATATATATTGTTAGATATGAAAAAAAAAAAGTCCTTTAAGTATACAGTTACTTAAAAGATAAATCTGCTACAATTCAGTCAATTTTCAGGATTATCTTTTAATACAGTAATAATGTTTTTTTCTTAAAGTGAATCACTATATAAAACAATTTTGACCTACAAGTACAGTAGCTACAAGCCAACATCTACTGGCTATGACCAGTTGGATATGCTTTTTCTATAAGCTTGTATTTTACATATGGATTTTTACATATTCAAGGACATTAAATTTTTTCAATACAACTAAATTGTATATATATATTCTTTAATTTTATATTCAGATTCTTTAATAAGTCATTACCTTTTTCCCATGCAATGAAAATCTGGAAAAAGGATATAAGGTACTTTCAACATGCCAAAATCATGAGCAAAACATTCTTTAAAGATTCTCTATTTCTCAGTTACTTCCCTACTGCCTTCTTGGGAAGATGATACAGAACTCAGCTTTGTTCTTACGATCTCATTTGAACAATCCTGTGACAATCGTTCATTAGATTCTAAACTTTCTTGTTGGCTTGTGAAATCTTCCAGTTTCATTAAACTTATATTAAATCCACAAGGTTCAACAGTCACATTAGTGTTCAATGCTTGGCTGTTCTGATTCTTCACATCCATATTGGTGGTCAACACCTTATCTCCTTCACATCTGTTTTGGCCAGGTAACTGAAAGGTAAACACCTCTGGGGATCTGTGGCTACTTTCTGGGTTAGTTAAACCCCTGGCAGGTTTATTTATCTGTATATTAAACAACAAAACCTGTGTTTCACATGCATGAACTTACTGAAAGTAGAATCAGAAACCACTAAAAAATCAACTTCTTAATTTACTTACTTCAACATAAAAATTGAACATGTAAGTTTTAAGCAGATTCTGTATTATACTTTTATTAACTGGAATTATTATGCCTAATAAAGCTTTCTATGCCTATCTTAAAAACAAACACAACAATAAAACAGCTGAAACATTCTTGAATGATTATTTTTAATATTTTCATTTAAATAAAATTATTCTTAAACTCCACAAATGCTTTAGACGGTCAAGTTAAAAATCCAATATATTTGTGTCTTTGCACTGCTGATTGCAGCTTTTATGATGTGGTTTCATATCACACACTCATAAAAAGCAAGTACCAAAAAAATATAACCATTGTCTTATTTAGTAGCCTTTATTCTATTATAAATCACATTTGTAGTTTCAATTAAAAAGTATATTTCAATCAGAATTCTAACTGTTCAATACCACAAGCTCAGATGAGGCAAAAATGTTATTCAAGTAAATGGAAACGAATAATGTCACTTTAATTAATAACTGCAGATAACATTAAAATTTAATAATGTTTTATGCAAAAAAACAAACACAAAACAATGCACATTTGGGAGATTATGACAGAACAAATACAAGGATCAATATTGGCATACCATATTTGAGAAAAGGGTACTGAAGCATGTTTTCATACACTTTTCACAATACATCTTCTAAACTAACAAAAATAATAAAAGAATTGCAGAGCCAATGAAATTTTACTATCTCTATAATGCTAAGCCATTATTTATTTATTTATTATTATTTTTTGAAGATAAGAAAAAGTTTGAAGAAATAGTAAACAGTTTTGAAAAACAACTGACAACTGAGCTAAACACTTAAGAGGAAGGTCCTACCGTCTTTACCCACATCATCAGCTTGGCTGATTCCAAGTCTGTTTGTCAGACTTCCTGGATTCTGGAGTAGGTCCTCCACTAGTCTCAATGTGTCAGGATCCAGCTGAGCTGATGCTAACAAGTCAATAACGTGGTGTTGAGTCACAGTATTCCCTTCTGACCCAGCTATGGATCAAAATTAATAACACCACACAAATTGTAATTTTTGTGTTAAGGAAACAAAAACTAAAACTGAAACTTAAAAATTTCATGTTTTAGTTTCATATTCTTCATATGCCCATGAAGAGGAAAATTAAAGCATTAAACAACAGTAAATACTCCAATAAAATGCTAATGCTGTAAAGAAGTTTACTTATTATTATTTTTTAATTATTTTTAACTTATTGAAAACATTTGGTCAATGGTCTAGTGTCTTTTACATACTTATAACTACAAGTATTATATTCTAGATGTGTTAATTTTTTGAACACAAAACAAAATTATTTTTTGTCTAGTGGATTGAAAATATATTACACAGCTTCTTATAGTTAACTATCCACATTACCATTATTCTTCAAGTAAACTTTATAATGAATACACATGATAAATACATTTTACAATGGACAACTTCTTAAAAATGTACTTGGACAGTCATTTATACTAGCATGGTTGAGAGTAGAAAATTTTACCAATACTGGAAATTACCAGGCATTCACAAACAAATATTTCCCTCTGACTATGCTGTATTCATGTAATCATTACTGGTAGTAATCTTGTCAAAGCAAGTATCTTAAAAATATGTCTCGAGTATGAAATGAAGCAAAAAAAAAAGCTCATGATGAAACAAAACTGATTTTTTTCAAGACTTTTTTTGTACTTAACCCATTCTGGCCAAAATCACCAGTATGAATCTCTGTACCTAATATATCTCTCTCCCACCCATGCAATAGTCCTTAGGAACTTATCCCAAAACTCTTAATTGGATTTGACTTTAAGAATTGTTAAATTTTGTCATGTTTTGTGTTAATGGTTTTCTGAATATTATGATATAGATATAATTATGTAAAATGGCAATTTGTTATTCCACAATTGATATATTTCATTTACAAAAAAGTATGTTTTTTTATTTTTATAATCTGCTTTGTCAGAAGTTGAACTGGCAAACTGAATCACTCGTGTCATTTCAGTAAAAAATTCAAAAAAAAAAGATTTAGGAAGTTGTTAAAAAATACAAATAAAAGTTTCCAATCTGTCATGTTAATATAGAAAATGAAACAGATCATATAAATTTCATAACAGATTATTTAAAGGCATGAAAGAAAGTCCCTAAATAATTTTACTAAACCTAACTCTATGTATCATACTAATGAACTTATCAATGAACAAGTTAATCCAGAAATGTTTATTCCAAATTTTTCTATGTATGCAAGTGTATATATTATTTATATAATCAATTTCAAGTTGTTGTTTTTTAAAAAGCTAGTACAGATTCTTGTTACGATGCAAATTAACATCAATATTACCTTCACCAACAAATCAATGTATTTATGTTAAATTAAAAAAACTTGTGCATCTTTTATAAAGTTCTTCTATCCTAAGCTAAAATTGGGCAAAACTTAAAAATATTACAAAAATGGATCAAACAAGGAAGAGAGGGATAATGATACATTACATAAAGGTAGATAAAGAACTTTGTGATTGGTGGGACTGAAGGTATGCGCGTGTGTGTGTGTGTTTAAGAGCTTTCAAATACTGGTAAAAGAAAAATACTACTGATGCTAATAAGTCAATAACGTGATGTTGAGTCATAGTATTTCCCACTGACCCAGCTATGAATCAAAATTAATAACCATACAAATTGTAATTTTGTGTTAAGGAAATTAAAATTGAAAATTTTATGTAACGGAATTTGTTCTAATTTTCGCTTTAAAATAATTAACACTCTTGTTATAAAAACTAAATAATCATTAAATATTAGATCACTAAATGAACTAAATAATAACTCTTACATTAAACAGTCTTTTATATCCAACAACATTCTTGATCTAGATGTAAGTATTTGAAGAATTACCAGAACTAGGCTTCAGATGCTCTTTTAGATCCTACATAATTTTGGTCCATGTTGAGAACAAACATATCAATAAACAATATAGGAGCATTGAAGTATATTAATAATTTAGTCTTGTGCCTTGAACAAAATCTCAATTATCGATACTGATTTTAAGACTATATACTGAAATATGTGGATAGTTTGATTTTAAAATATTTTTGAGTTTATTACTCAATGCACAGCTGTCTTTACCCATAATGAGAAGACTGGCATAAAATGATAGTTTGGGCATATCAAATCTCACTTTACAAGAGATGTACATTCTATTTAAAAAAATTGTTAAATATTGTCAAGTAATGAAAGATAACCATTTTTAACAATAAGTTTTACAGTTTCAATTTCTGTATGAAAATAATGCTAGTTACTGGGAATGTGATAAGCTGTATCACATATTTATCACATTATCCTTATATTTAACAGGTTCAAAACTGTCAAGAAGATTAAATAATTCTGTATATTTTAGTTCATGATAATTTCCTATTTATAAATGATCCACTCAGTTATAATATTTAAACCTAAAAAAAGAAAAGGCAAATTTAGTTATTTGCTTCTTTAACTGTAAATATAATGTAAGACTGTTGTTTATTTAAACACTCTAAGAATGAATTTATTTGTTCTTTTTCCTGAAAAAGATATCTGATAAGTCTGAAACTCTCTGGAGGGTTACTTAACCATTGCTTTTCATAACATAATAAATCTGACAGTTGTTTAGAGACCTCAAACTATTCTTAACTGTATACTCATTCTTTTCCAATGTTTTAAGAAAACAATTAAAAAACTGCCAATTCTTAGTTAATGGTAACTATATTTGAAACTATTAACCTAACGGAACAATTATTTTTATGAATTTTTGGTAAACCATACAAAATACAACTGTGGGAACCTACCCATTTAATATTTTTGTATGCTTTATTTCCAATGACATTATCTTTCTTTAATTTTAACAAATATCTTTGTGCATTACCATCTCTTTTTTTTTTTGTGGGATCAATATTCAGTTTTCTAAATTTAGTTTCATCAGATATTACTGTAAGTACTTACTAACATATGTCATACATATGCCTGTTCTCAATGTAGATGAGATTATGTGAGACTAACCATGCAACGTTTACAGCAGCACATCAAAAAGCAGCTGAAGCCTAATGCTGGCAATTCTTCAAATATCTAGATCAGGAATGTGATGGAACTGCTCATGAAAAGAGCAATACAGTCCAATAATGAACAAAACGTTGGGATAGAAGAACCTCTGGTTATTAAAAAACTCAAATGTTAAAAACTAGAAATAAAAAAGGAAAACATGGTTATCAGCTCTTAGGAAGCCACGAGACTATCTGACACATAAATGATGCACTGTTCATCACTGAACAAGTAACGCTCTCAAAAAAGAAAAAAAAAAAGGTGAAGAGAGGGAAGGTAGATATTTCTACATGTCATGAATATTACATTTTCCTTTTTAAAGAACTGACAATAGCAATAATTTCAGAATAAATTACACAATTTGATTTATATCAGTTTGCAGTCATGGACATTTGGCTGCTTCAATGAGATGTGACTCTTATGAGTAAAGATAATGTTCTAGAAAATTGAGTAAATATCTTTAGGCTGAGAAAATGTAGTAACTATTCAAGTTTGTAATTTTTCAAGAAACATATTTGAGAGTATGATTACTGCTAGTTATTCTTGTTGAGACTGCTCTACGGATTTTACATGACTTGTTTTGGGGACAGGTATGGCAGAATTAATGGCTCTCTGAATAATGCCATCTAGGTATTCTATTTCTGAATGAAATGTTTACCATTACTGCATAATTTAAGCTTAGTTTAACATAAAACTTATAAGTAGGGACTAACTTTCAGAGTGTTGGTAGTATGATTTAATTTTTGGAAATGAAAATAAATGAGAAATGTTTTAAAGGATTACACAATAGATGAAAGAGAGAGACCAGAACAGAATTTGTCAAGATTTTTCCCAATGCCAACTTTATTTTAAAAAGCATCAACATAACAGACTGTCACAATGTTTCAATACAGGCTCTAAAATATTAAAATATTTCCTTCTACAGACTAATGAAAACATGGCAGCAACTTGGATCCAGTTTTGGACCAAATTAATGCTCATTGAAAAGAAAAACTTATAGACTTCCTTCAACAGAAACATATTTCTACCCATTCCTTAGGTCCTACCAAAAAAAATATTCACACACATAAAATAAAAGATGCTTCATTCTAGAGTGCACTAATTTACCACTTTGTTAACTAGCACCAACTTGACAACATATTTATAGAAATGGTAGGCCTAAAGTGAAAATGGGTAGTTCTAACTTTAAAGCAAAAACCAGAAACTGCTGAAAGCTTAAATAACATCACAAAAAACAACAACATATTTTCGATGACGAGGAACCCACTTTGAGACTAATAATGGCTGGAGACGGCTTGATGATGACAAAACCTTGTCAAAATGTTGTACATTTGCTGTTATATTAAAGTTTTTCTTCATTACCAATTCAAGCCGTCTCCAGCCATTATTAACAACATATTTTGTTTAAATTTAGGAAAATGGAGTAATGTGAAAGAAAACTCAAGTTAAATCATTTTTCTGTTTTTGTAACTATAGCAGACATCTTCAATAAGCATTGTTTTAGTTTACATTACTGTTTTCTGTATTTTACTGATGCATTCTTGTTGCACAAAATGACACCTCATTTATCCACAGATTTACCATATGCATGAACTCTTGTATCCCAAAACACATGGATAAATTTGATGATAAGGAACCCACTTTGGGACTAATAATGCTTGGAAACAGCTTGAATGGGTAATGAAGAAAAATGTTAATTTAAGTTTAACATAACAGCAAATGTACAATGTTTCTACAAGGTTTTGTCATCAACAGGTATAATTAGTTTACACTGACACAGATATATATACAGTACGGAACAAACAGGTCACATGACCAGATACTGTTGCACAACTTAGAAGAGATATCTTGGCACCCCAGGGTGTTGGTTCAGAGTAGGGTTGTTTTGTTCAATTAAGATAGATTTTCCTT